ACACTGTGTCTTCCTTAGACCTGACCACTTTTCCTATTAATGACTCTTTTATAAAAAATTACACTGGGGCTGGAGAGATGAGTCAGCAGTTAAGAGCATTGGCCACTCTTCCAAGGTCCTGAGTTCAAACCCCAGCAACCACATGGTTGCTGTAATAAAATCTTCTGGATTAAGATCTAATTCCCTCTTCTGGTATGCAGGTGTACATGCAGAACACTCATACATAAATAATAAATTTTTAATAAAATTGTATTGCACATGTGTATGGTGTATGTGTTCATCTGTGTGCAGATGCATATCCCCATGTACACAAGTAAAAACCAGAGGACGACCCTGGTGACCTGCTCTATCTGTTTCTTCCTTATTCTCTTGAGACAAAGTCCCTAAATCTAGAGTAAGGCTAGCAATCAGCAAGCCCCAGCTAGCCTCATGTCTGGCTTTGTTTTATGTGGGTTCTGGGATTATTGACTTACAGAAAGTACTTCCATGCATGCAGCCATTTCTTCAGCCTCAGCAACTCATATAATATTATCATTCTTATAAACATAATGCATATTCACTTGAAAAGGCTAAGGAAACATCAAAAATAAGAAAATAAAATACTTCATGAGTGCATGTCCCATTGTTGAACAACTGTTGATATTTTGGTATGTATTTTTAATTTATGCAAAAAATGAGATGAAACTTCTGTAGCTTACAACCAGAACCTGGAAACAACCTAGATGTCCTTCCATGGAAGAATGGATAAAGAAAACGTGGTACATTTACACAATGGAGTATTGCGCAGCAGTAAAAAATGATAACCTCATGAAATTTGCAGGCAAATGGATTGAACTAGAAAAAAATCATTCTGACCCAGAAAAACAGTGTATGTACTTACTCATAGGTGGTTATTAGGAATAAAGAATAGGATAACCAAACTACAATCCATAGCCCCAGAGGGACTAAATGGCAAGGGGAGACACAAGGAGGGATGCATGGATTTCCCTGGGAAGGAGAGGTAGTAGGGATCACTTGGGGACAGGGTTTGGGGGATGGGAACTAGGGGGAGCAGTCTGGGCGGGCTGGGTGTGGTAGGCAGGGTGGAGGGGGAGAGTAACAGAAGAGATGTCTTGCTGGGGGGGCCTTTGGGGGTTGGGGAGAAACCTGGTGCCAGGGAAGGTCCCGGGAACCCACAGAGATGAGCCCAGCTAAGACTCCTAGCAATAGTGAAGTGTTAAGAGCAGTTTTCCTGCCAGCCTGATCCCACTGCTGTGTCAGTCCCAAATAACACACAGAGACCCTGTATTAGATATAAAGCTGTTGGCCTGTTACTAGCGTTTCTTATTGGCTAGCTCTGTCTTAAATATAACCCATTTCTATTAATCTAAGTATTTCCATTTCTATTAATCTAAGTCTTATCTTACTGGAGAGAGGGTCCGGACCTTCTTCCTTCAAGTCCCTACATCTTGACTCTCCTCACTACATCTCCTATAATCCTCCTTGTCCCACCTATCTTGCTTTCCTATTGGCCAACAGGGCTTTATTCATTAACCAATAAGAGAAACATATTTACAGAATGACATCTCCCATCAGTGAACAGGGTGCTTGAACTACTGTAAGCAGATTGTTGCCTTCCCTAATTGCAATTAGATTCTCTATCCAGCAACTGATGGAAGCAGAGGCAGAGATTCACAGACAGGCACTGGACTGAGTTCTGAGTCTTGTGGAAGAAAGGGAGGAGGGATTATACCAGCCAGGGGTATTATGATTTGGAAACCCAGAGACAGCTGACCTGAGCTCACAGGAACTCATGGACCCTGCAGCAACAGTCAGGGAGCCTGAATGGAACTGACCTGGGCCATCTGCACATTTGTGACAATCATGTAGCTTGGTTTCTTAGTGAGGCTTCTAACAGTGAGAGCAGGATCTCTCTCTGATGCTTAGTTGGCTTTTGGTAATGTTTCCCATGCTGTATTACCTGGCCCCATCTCAACGTAAGGGATGTAAGGGGAAGAGCTTTGTCCTGCCTCAACTTTGTCCAAGCCCATAGGAGGCCTGTCTCTTTCTGCACAAAAATGGAAGAGTGGATGGGGAGGGAGGTTATGTGGGAAAGGGTTGGGGACAGGAGAAGAGGGAGGGGAAACTGGTTGGCATGTAAAATAAATGAAAAAAGTTATTTAAATAAAAAATACTTTTGAGGCTTATTTATTCAAACCATGTACTGAGTATCTTTTCATACCCTTAAATATTAACCAACAGCTCCTTTTTAAAACTTACTTAAATGTAGTTATTATGTGGTCCTGGGGATCAAAACCAAGGCTTCACAAATGCTAGGCAAGTGCTCTGTCACTGAGTCATGCTCAGAACCCTGCAGCTCCACTTGAATGATCTTGTGGTTTTCCATTTATGAATTACCACTGCTTATCTGCTGTAGCTGAGCACATAGGTAGTTCTGCACATCACACTAATTTACAGTATTTAAAACACAAAAATGTTCCAGGCGTTGGTGGTGCATGCCTTGGATCCCAGCACTCAGGAGGCAGAGGCAGAAGGATCTTTGAGTCTGGGGCTAGCCTGGTCTACAGAACTAGTTCCAGTACAGAGAACTGTCTTTAACACACACACACACACACACACACACACACACACACACACACACACACACTGTTCTCACTCCAGTTATTTCTGTGGACAAAGTAGAATAACAGGTTTGTTATCTGCTGTGAAATCACCATCCAAAAATGGTTGCCATGGTTTCTCTACCAATTCTATGCAAGAGTCATTATTAATGGATATCATTCATTTTAGTGTCTCATGAACCTGAGTCAAAATTCCACTGTTTTTCATTAGTGATCACTAGTAATGCCACAGTTTTCACTATGTAGTCTTTTGCCTGGATTTTCTGAATTTACTCACACGTAATTTGATCCATAAACACTTCTTATCTGTTGGGGTCAGTAATTATTTATGTATGTTTTGACCAAGCCTAGAGGTGACCTATTTTATGCATTGTCTTTGTTCCAGGCACAACTGCACTTCTAGGCTTTATGGTTGTTATGAAAAAGGCTCAGAATCTCCAGAGAAAGAGCAAGAAGGGAGGAAGAGAAAGCATCCTGTCGGGCCTAAAACTGGATGATCAAGGACTCCAGAGCATTGCCCCCCCCCCCCAGAGTTGAGATCACAGCACAGCAGCAGGGGAGAAAAATACTAGGCTGTCTATACATTTACATTTTTATAGACAGTGAACATATGTAAGACTATGCAAAAGTATGTTCACTCCATTTATGAAATAATAAACTGGTACCATGTTATAGTTTATATTTGTAGTCTCCACCAGAGTTTTATTAGTTTTTCTACAAACTCAGAGGGATCTGGGACCTTCCTTCCTACACCACCATGTTGATACACCAGATACTATGAAGGTAAGCATCAGGCCTAAAGGCCATCACAAGATCTCAGGGCCCAACAGATACAAGGGTAAAGCTGTCTTTCTCACTCAGTCTGGGCTCTTACCTCTGCATCATCCTTGGATGGAAAATATATAATGGGTTGCCAACAGCAGACCCACCCAGGAATACTTCAGATGTCTGGATTGTAAGGGAAATATCTCCAGCTCATTCCATAAAAAGGGACTGAATGGGGCACCAGGATCCTTGGACTGGAACAATGACCAGCTGCCATTCTCTTTAGCAGCTAAAAAAGCCCTTCGAAGCTACTCTGCTAAACTAGCGCAAGCTGCTGAGCTGAAGCCTTCCTCACATCCCAGACATGCTTTCTTTCAAGGCCATTCGCAGGAATGCTTCTCCCCTCATGTTTTGAAGGTACAGAATGTAGAGTAGCATGCATAAACCTTTTTAACTTCCAGGTATGTAAGCCACCACATAGCTCAAGTCACAGAACACTTACTTCCATCACTCTGTAAGGGCCTTATGTCTGCTTCAACCACAACCAACCACTCCAAGTCCTGCTGGAGCTGAGCATATTCTGGCTTGTGCTCCCGGAATCTGATATTGTCCTGGTTTTACAATGATCCTGGTTTTACAAATGAAAATCCTAGCAAGTAGGCTGTTGCTTTTGTCCCGGCCCATCCTGCACACTACTATACTATGCATCCTCCTTGTGCAATACGCACACAATTACAGCATGATATGGAGTATCATGGCTTCTGGGAATCAAAGGACCAAAGTATAATCCTGAGTTATCACTACTTGGACATTTGATGACATTAAGTGGTCATTGAATCTTAAATATCTTTTAAGGGATCATGTATTAAATGCATTGTTGCCAGTCATAGTGTTACTGGGAAATGGTACCACCTTTGAAGGATGCATTTGTTTGCTTTTCCATTGCTGTCAAGAAACACTCTAACAAAAAGCAACTTGGGGAGGGAAGGCCTTGTATGTCCTACAGGTTATAGTCATCATCATCATCAAGGGAAAACAAAGCAAGAACCTAGAGCAGCCGTTCTCAACCTATGGGTTGAAAAGGTGACAGCCAAATCCAGGTATTATGGCAGTTTAATTCAGAAACACAGCCAAGATCCATTACTAAACTAGCATTTTCTTTCTATTTTTGGAAATAGGGCCTTACTAGGTTGCCTGGTTGTTCTCAAACTCCAGGCCCCACAATTTTCCTGAGCAAGGTCCCAGGCACTGAGCATTTTCTGGAATAGCTGCTGATAACTTCTCAAAAGGCCGCTTATCCAGGTGTGACTCGAAGCATCAGCATATCAGGTCCCCGTCCTCAGGAAACCCAGGTCTCTGCATGCTACCCAGACAAGAGAGGTGAGCTCCAAGCCTGGGAGCCTGCATGTTAACATCTACCCACACTCTTCACAGAAGTGAAGTCATGCTTGTTCAAGTTGTTAAACTGATTGATTATAGCTTTATTTTATACACTGTATAATCTGGTACATGTGAAAAAAAAACTAGATCAGTTATAATTAATATCCTTATTTCCATTTGGTTTACCACTGAAAACCAGACAAATCATTTCACCTTAAAAAACAAAACAAAACCAAAAAAAAAAAAAAAAAAAATGCAGGAACTGAAGCAACAGTTATGCCCAACAGTAAGTTTTCTCTTTCAGTAGTCAAAGCAGCATCTGCTGAGGGAACGAAATGAAAACTTGACATTCCTTTTCAAGGAAGACTGAGTTCTATTCTCAAGTATAAAGATAAACTTGAATGCTTATCTTGACCATCTGCAAGCAAATAGGCACACAAGTTGAAAAGGCAAGAGCACTATGGAAATGACACCCCACTGTAGAATGTGGCCCCACAATTCGACTGAGCAAGGTCCCAGGCATTGTTGGGGTAGCAATGCTGCCCTCCTTCCTATGGAAGGGTGCTCTTGATGGCTCTGGGAGGCCTGTTCTCCACTGGCTCTGCTTATCCTGGCCCTTTGGACTCATGGGAGATATGTGGCAGACCGGGTTGGCTGAGTTCAAGGGCAACATCTCATGTAGAATGAAACATCTCAGGGTATGAAAGGCCATTCTGTACATGTTACATTATATCCGGGCTCCTCTGGGAGACAAAGCCTCCTTCCTCTTCAACAAGACAATCCTGTGTCTGGTGACACCACTCTGGCTACCTCTTCTTCACGTGTGACCTCATGTGTGCAGCAATTGAACCAGCTATTTCTGCCGCCTTCTTGTTTTGGCCAAAGTAATCAAGAAACTCTCCATCTGGTCCAATCAAGTACATTATTATTGTATGATCAACCTGTAAAGAAGAGGGGGAGAGGCATGTGTGAAAAACGGTCACGGACTTCATGTTGCTGAAGAGAAATATACTGCAGGTGAGAGATGTTAGCATCGGTGCTTGAATAACCACTATAGCATACACTCAGGGAAGCACTAACTACAAAATGGGCCTGTGCTGACTGTGGCACATTCACAGCCGGGGACCATCTGAAACCTCATGGTCCACAAATCTGCAATGGCTGCTGCTGTGGGTCAGCTTAGGATTCTTTGGGTACAATTCTTCATATACTCACCCGTGCATTCTGAGAGAGGAATTCACCTTCTATTGGCCTTCATAAATAACCTATGCTGTGGAACAGCAATGCTGTTGTGAAACACCTTCCACTTAATTGGGCATTTCTCATCTGATCCCCTCTCCATTCACACGGAGTTGTCACATGGGAGTCGATCAGTGGTCAAAACTACTCTGAGTAGTTCAGAACCCAGTGAGTGCCTGGGTATCCATTCTCATGTTTAAGGAAGAATTGGCTCTCAGTACTGCCTAACCTCTGCTTGCCACGCTTTATGAGAAGCCAGAAACCCAACCACTGGTTGAAGCATGTAATTTACAAATCCTAATAGTGATTTTGTCCAGGTATGAGTGATTCAAACAAAAACTGGAAGATGTTTTTCTCTCCTGGGAAATCGGCAATTACTATTCTGAGCTTCATGCCTGAAGCAGACTGCTTGGAAACCCCACCAGCCACAAATGCTGCTCTATGGGAGGCTCTTCAAACCACCATCCATTTTCCTGACTATGCTCTTAAAATGTCTCAGTTCCAATTTAAGTTGAGACTTGTCATCATTCTTTTTAGATATTCATTTCCACAATATTTTAAGAGTAGATCTGGCATCATAAGTCCTTGTAATTTGTCGCAAGATAGGAAGATAGGAATACTATCATACACACCAACTGGAAACTCCCCAGAATATACCCCAACCCACATTATCTGGCCATGAGGCTATTACCTTTTTATACACACACACATTCATAAGGACATAGCAAATGGAAAGAGCCACTCCCTGCCATCAGGAAAGAATGCCACCAAGAGCTCAGACAGCTGGTGACTTCATGTGGAGAATTCACTGTAGGAGCCAGGCAGAGTCTGGAATTTCTCCTCCCATTTGACAGAGGGCTCATTATTAAAACTCTGGCTTAGACTCAAGCCTTTCTCCGCAGCTTATACCCTCTTTCCTTTATTGTTTCCTTTTTTAGAGAATTAATTTTTTGACAATTTCATGTGCACATATACCCATACCCCTTTCATTTTCTCTATTCACTTTCCTTCTTAAAGAACAGAACTTGCAGTATGTTGGACTGATTTTTGAGGGTTTTTAATATAAATTACCATATTACTAGTATGTGGTAAAACACATTCTTTTGCCCTTGTCAAACTTGTCATTCATTAGTCACTTTTCAATTATTGTTGGGACAAATCAACATTTGTTCTAATAGGGACTTTGTGAAAATCTAGTAATTTGTAGTATAGAAAAACAAAATCAGCAACTACACACCCTTTCTTCCTTGGTGCATGTGTACAAGTGGGTTAAGTATGCCCCCCCCCCCACACACACACAGAGGACAGAGGATGACGTTGGGTCACTTTCAGCCTGAGACCCTCGAAACAAGATCTCTCACTAAACCTGGAGCAGACTGGGAGCATCAAGCCCCAACAACCTCCTGTTACCAACCCCAATAGTGCTGGAGTTCCAGGAGTGCATGACCATGCCTGGCTTTTTACATGGTTGCTGGGGATATGAACTCACGTCCCTGTTCTTGTGCAATAGGCATTCACCCCTCCCTTGTCATTTGAACCCATTCTCTATTAAGTATAAGCAGGCTGGGGAGGGGAAGTTATAGACACTACTAAGGGTCAGATCTAACATTAAGACCTAGCACCTGTCTATTTTCAAAGTCCACATTCTTTTATAGCTATGTTGCCACTATTTCCAATTTAACTGCAAAGGTGGCAATTCATGTGTTTTTTTAATACACATATTTACTGCCTAAAAAAAGTAGTGCATGCACACTACTCTTTTATTCTGAACTCCCAATGTCCTTTGGTTTTTCTAGCAGGGAACCACTGTCACTAGTTACTATTATATTCTCAGAGACATTCTCTTCATTACTATGTCTGTATCCAGCACCACCTACACAACTGACACTTCATCACAGTCTCTTGTCTTTACCTACAATGCTTCAACAAGATTCAGCTGTGAGCTAATTTCCAAGTAACATCCATGTCGGTAAAAGCAGTTTCACATACTTCCACACTACCCGATTCATCCCTATCAACAATGCATGGAAACACCTGTTAAAAGTTCACTCCGACAACCCATTTCTTAGTTTTCCAATTCTAACAACAGATTTTGGCTTTCCAAACACAGCTAAACTAACATGTTTTTAAAAGGTGTACCACTAAAAAAACCCTCATTTCCTTTGTTATGAAATTGTCTTAGCTTAAACTTAAAAAGTCATTTGTATTCCTCGAACTATTTTCTAACTAACATATATAGAACGTGGTATCACGTGTATAATAATTATGCATATAGTAATGTGCAAATTTAGCTTTGTGGTGAATCCTGTTTGGTATGCTCAATTTATATCCATTGTCCAAAGACTACTTCTATCACCATTGTCTGAGATTATGAAAGTATAGTCCCATTGCACCTCAAGGCAATCTTTAAGCATTGCCCCTTACTGGTCCTCAAATCCTAACATACTTCCATCTATCCACAGCTTCAAGCTACAAAGGAGTCACACTAATGAAATATTCTAGGAACCTTGGAAGTATCTCCCCCTGTTGGTTGATTTAGCAAATGCACAGCAATGGACTCACTGAGAGTTCAGACCAGCAGACCTGTAAGCTAGAAAATGTGCCTAGGATGCCTCCAAAAGGTCAAGGAAATCTCCAGAAATTGATATTCTTGTACTTTAATCTATATGACAAACGTAACAACTATAATTTAGATTATCTGACTCACAAGTACAAATTTCAAGGCCTAACGTTCTTGGACTATAATGAACTCACTGGCTCCAGACTGCACTGCTTGAGACCCACAGACAAGGAATGCTAATTCTTACTTCACAAAGGGCTACTGTGGGGTCACATGGGCTAGCTTCTTAACCCCATTCTGCTGTGAAGAGCAGCTTTGGTTTCAGTAAAATATTTGTCATTTGAATGGAATGTTTCCCTTGTTTTTATTTTTTGAGACAAGGTCTCACTTAAGTGGTCCTAGTCGGATTAAAACTGATGAAGTGTGACACCAGGCCTGTCTGAACTGAAATGTTACAAATAAAACCAGCCATTCTGTTTATTTGTAATTTTTTTCCTTTTAACTTCAGAACAGGCCTACAACAGAATTTAACAAAACTTATTTATCCCTGGACGATTAGCCCCTCCCATCCCTTCTGGCACTCTTGGGTAAACCCAAACCAGCCACTCTAACTGTATCAAAGGGGAGATGTTTAAAAAGTCCTTCGTCCCACGGGGCCTCCTCTTTTGGCACTTATCACTGCAGGTGCACGAGACAGAGGCCCAGGAGAGCCTGACTACTTCTCTCAAACTTAGGGCTTCAGGAAAAACTCACTTTTTCTTGTCCCTTTCTTCCACAAATCCCAAGTTTCCCCAATGCTATGAGGCATCAGGCCTAGGAGCTGAAAGCTGAGCATTGACTTACTATGTAGTCCTCATCTTCATCCTTAGGGCCAGGGCTGTAATAGACCCTGTATGCTCTGGCCACTCCATCAATCTCTTCTTTTGTGCCAGTCAAACCAACCAATTTGGGAGAAAATTCTAAATATGAAAATGAGAAAGCCAGTGAAAATTTAAAAAGACAAAAAACATAACCATCTTTACTTAAAACAAAACTGAAATAACAGAAAAACATACATAAATAAAAGCCCTAATAAATAGGAGCCACTATAAAGCAGCTTTGGTGCTCCTGAGTCTCCAAACATTTCTGCATGATTTGAAGGAACATAAACTCAGGGAAAAAAACAAAAATTCTCCCATGACATATGTTGGATCTTTTTGTGATCATAATATAATAAAGACCCGAAAGAAATGTACTCTAGTTATTTAAATTAATTTAGTTAAAAACATACAGTTGAGGGTTCCTCAAGTATTTCAGGTTTTCACTGCATTGTATGGGAAGAAACCTAGTTTCAGAACCTGGTAAGATGGAGCAGTGGATGTGAGAGGCTTGTGTGGTGGCTTGAAAGAAAATGACCCCCAAAGGAAGTGGTGCTATTAGGTGTGGCCTTGATGGGGCAGGTGTGGTTTTGTTGGAGAAAGTGTGTCACTGTGGAAGTGAGTTTTCAGGTCTCATATGCTCAAGATCCCATCCAGTGTCTCAGAGTACTTTCTGTGGGCCCCGTGAGCCAAGAACCCTCAGCTCCTACTCCAGCACCATGTCTGCCTGTTATGTCACCAAGCAACACCATGCTGATAATGAACTAAACCTCTGAAAATGGAAGCCACCCAACTAAATGTTCTCCTTTGTAAGAACTGCCATGGTCATGGTGACTCTTAACAGCAATAGAAACCCTAACCAAGACAGCTGGGAAGGACTCAGTCTGAAATTCAAGGCTCAGAATCCACATGGAAGAGGAAGTAGAAAGACTTTAAGAGATAGAAGGGATGGATGACTCCAAGAAACAGTGTCTTCTAAAGACAAAAGGCCTGATGCACATATGAACTCAGAGACTGTGACAGCATGCATAAGATCTGGACATGTTCAACCTTGACAAAATCTGAGCACTGAGAAGGGAAAGCGGACACAAGTCCTGCCCCTAGTCAAGAAGCTATTTGCAATTGATAATGACTGGGAAAAGGAAAATCAGTTTTCTCCAGTGAAGTGTTAATGGCAATATCAACCACACTCCAGGGTAGGCCCCATGCTCAGGAGTTGGCAGCCAACAGAAAATGAACTCCATGTTCTTTTTGTGAACTTTTGTTTCATTACTGGAGCATTTTTTTTTCTTCTTGGCTTTTTGTCTGTTTTGATTTTTGTTCTTTTTTTTTTTTTTAAATTATTTTTTTGTTTTTGAGGTGGGAGGTTGGGTGAGTAGGGAAGGCCTGGGAGGAGCTGGGGAAGGAACATGATCAAAACAGACTGTGTGAAAAGAACTTTTTTTTTGTTGATTTTTGAGAAATTTTGAGACAGGGTTTCTCTATGTAGCCCTGGCTGTCCCAGCACTCCATATAAACAAGGCTGGCCTCTAATTTATAACTCCCTAGTACTGGGGTTAAGGGTGTACACCGCCATACCTGGTAGGAAAATTAACATAAAAAAGCATTGTTCATGGGGTACCTACAGCCAATAAGAAAATTCATACAAAAACAAATCAGTCATAAAACTCATGCGCTGTTATGTTTTTTAGAATTTATGTAATCTTGTTTAAAACAGTTGAATAAAGCAGAGAAGGGTGGCACATACCAGCACTCCAGAGGCAGAGGCAGGTTGATCTCTGAGTTCAAGGTAGCTTAGTCTATGGTGACTTCCAGGGCATCCAAAGGCACAGTTAAAGCCAGTTTAAATAAGTAAGTAAGTAAATAAATAAACAGCCCCCCAAAACAAAAACACCCCAAACAATAACATCAAGGCTGACTTCAAATTTGTTTACACTCTAAAATTCATCTTTAATCTCCCATTGTACATAATCCTGAGTTTGTTTTTCCATTTTAACAAAAAAGACAGTGAGACACAGAGTTAGAAGTAATGCACTCTCTCTCATTCCCCACTTAACTTAGGTGTACATGAAACTCAAGTTATAACCCTTCCTGTGATAAAAGTACAGAGAACAGCGCCAAGAATGGGCAAAACTGTTTCTCGTGTGTTAACAAAACAGAGCTGCAACTCTGAGCTTCACTGTTTATTTGCCAGCAATGGCTAATAATACCTTAACCTGTCTATTTTGGTTTACTACCGAAAACTGTTATGTATAAATTATCAGTAAAACAAACCTTTCACATAAGTTGAGATGGCTTCTTTTGTGTCCCTTTCTGGGTCAATGGTGATGAAAAGTGGAGTTAAATTTGGCAGGGATGGAATACTGTCTGAAAGAAAGTTCCAATTAGTCAACAGTCACCATAAGGGGGAAAAAAAAAAGACAGAGAGACACAGCAACACTCAGAAAAGGTGGTACTATAGCAAAATGGCAGGGTAACACAGAGGACAGATTAGACTATCTGGAATGGAGTAGTTTCTGTTTGTGGTGTGGTGGAGCTAGACAGAAGTACTACCAAACACATCTACTGATACATAAATGCTGTTACCCCAGATCACTTCTAAGAGCCATCTTATTTCCTAATGCAATGAATCCCTGTAGTTTTTCTTACCACATCTCAAGGACAAGGCAAGCTATCAATAAAGACTGAATACACTGACACAATTCAAAGAAGTACACTTCTTTACAACTGCTTTTAATAGGCACTAATAAAATATCACTTATCACTCCAGATTTCTGAATCTAACCATCAGCGTCACTGGGGAAACACAATGAGAACATGTCACTAAGACGAAATAGAGGCATGAAGACATGTTTAAGTGATCTGACACGTGGCACCCAAACACGCCTCCTTAGGTAGAGGGCAGGGTCCTGTAATCAAAGCATCAAGCTGAACATGGAAACTATGTTCCTACAGACCAAATAATTACAACACCCTATCTAACACACTACAGGAATATGGGAAACAGTACTGTTAAAGAGTGTATTAGCAACTGCTTTCTTACCTATTTCATCCACAACTTGAATCATTTTTTCTAGTTCTTCTGGACAGATATCAGGGCAATGAGTGAAGCCAAAATAAATCAATACCCACTGGCCTAGGAAGTCCTTGTCAGTTTTGGGCTCTCCATCATGAGTTGTGAGGGAAAATGGTCCTCCTAGTAAAGGCTTCCCAATGCTTCGATGCCGTTGCTTCTCCAGCTCTTAAAGAGATGGACCAAACAAAACAAGTCACTGTAACCAAGTCACTCAAATATCTGACATAGAGTAAGCATACTAGGAAGTATAAAATACAGAAGAAATTTCAGCTTTCAAGACACTAACAAAAATATTTTCAGAAAAATAAGCATCAGATAAGAAAATTAAATGCTATAATACATGATAAGCACCGTAGTTAAGTGGCAAAATGTGTTCTCCTAGAACAATCGGTCCTAAAGTGTTCAGTGTGGGGGCGAGGGAGCCTAGATGTGGGGTGTGCTAAAGGCAGCTTCATGGGAAAGGCAGTGGTGATGGGACCTTAGTTTTGTACACACACACACACACACACACACTTAAAAACAAGTAAATAAAAGTTTAAAAACAAAACAAGACAGACCAAAATTTAACCACTTACTTTCTATCTTTTCTTTCTTGAAGTACTTCATTCCAGCCAATAAAGATCCTCCAATGGCAAAAGTCAACGCTAAAGACTTCCAAGAAACGGGCTACTGGGACAGAGATTTCAACAATAAAACAAGTAAGATGCAAACACTTAACCACGCTGTATTTACTATCTAAGTTTTCAGAGCAAGAATGTACACACAAACCATTGTCATATATGTTGAATGCTTCGGGTTACTGTGGGATAAATCCTGAAAGTTTCTGTGAATACAGTCATATCTACTATGAAAGCACTTGTTTCCAGGGAAGTTACCCGTTAATTAAAAAACAAACAAACAAACAACAGATAAGATCTGAAGATTGAGCTAAAGTAATTGGTAGAAAGCTTGCTTGACATATACCAAACCCCTGTGTTCCGTGCCAAGCACTGCATAAAACCGGGTGTGGTGAAGCACACCTGTAATCTCAACACTCTGGGAGAGGAAAGCAGGAGGATCAAGCTCAAAGTCATGCTTGGCTACATATCAAGTTCTAGGCCAGCCTGAGATATAAGAGACCTGACCTCAACGCACAGAGCCTCTCAACTGATTACTGGTTTATGCTGATACTGTACTCTTTTTAAATGTTTGCTTAAGATTCCCCCACTCTGCAAATCCACAGCTCTTATTAACAAAAGCAAGGTAGAGGCTCTGAATTAGAATGAGAGGAAGATAAAAAGGAACAGGAGAGAAAGGGAGGAAATAAGGAAGGGGGGGGGATCCAAAATGCAACAGAGGTCCACATTTTTGTTTCAATTTTAACTTACACACTGAACACTGAAGCCGGGTTCAGTGAGATTATAAAAGTGCTCTAGACTTTTGAATTGTAATAAAGCTGAGATCCTTAAGATCCAAAACTGATTTTTTTTTTCCTTCCTGGACCAAAGCCCCAGGTTGAAACCGTGCGGAGGGGGAGTAGATTCTCAAGTCCTATCGAGGCTGGCAGTATAGGTGACCAGGGAACAGTTCTGTAAAAGCTAGGACTACCGGCTGATCAGGAAGCAAGGAGGTGACTCCATGGTCCTTTCAGGGCACGCCAGGGAGTTCCCGAGGTTGTGACCTAGCAGGATACGGAGATACCAGGCTGCAGAGAGCGCCGAGTCCCGAAGATTCCATGCAGACACTCACCCCGGGCTTCGGGCGGCGCGGCCCGGATTGGCCGCCCTTGGGCTCGGGCCCCTGGGCCTCCGGCGATGGCGGCGCGACGCTGAAGGCCCGGACCCCTAGACAGCAGCGCGCCTCTCCCGGCCGCGAACTCCCCGCCGGACCCCAAAGCCCACGGCCGTGAGGGAACAGACGCCAGAGCTGGCGGCACTGCGGCCGCATCACCGCACAGGGCGACAGCACCAACGCCGCCATGAGTTTAGGAAACCGCCCCTCTTTGGGGCCGCCCCTCCATTTCCGCAGGAGCTTCCTCTTCTGCCGGAAGCTGAGCGAGGCCGCTCTCTCCTCTGGGCTCGGTGGTGATGCGGTTTACCCGTGGGTTGTCAAGGAGTCCAGGGCTGGGCGGCTGCAAGCGGTAGGTGGTTCTTCCGGGTGGAAACGGGTGGTGCGGGCTGTAGGCAGTGGGCCCTGGGCCGGGGTGCCTCGGGACTCTGTCCTGGGCCTGGCGGCGGCTGGAATAAACAAACATGAACGAACATCGCAAGGCAGGACTGGGGTAGTAGGTGGTCTCGGGTCTCCTAGTGGGGTTTGCTCTTCGAGCTGCAGGAGTCTGGGGATCTCCTCCTCCCCAACCTAAAAACCGGCCCGGTAGAGCTGCGGAGGTCTCGGACCCCAAAGTAGAAGTCGTCCCATGACGTTTGAAATACCCAGGACTTAGAAAAAAAAAGTAAGATTTTAAGTGTCTAGAACGATAAGGATTTAAGACCCCCGCGCTTCCTACTACTGTACAAGCTGCCTGAGAGCAAGGCACTGCCAAAGTGTGTAACTGCGTCATACCCATGCTTCATTTAGTCTGCAGTGGCTCGTTTCTTGAAACGGTCTCATCACATCCGTCCATCCCTCATTTTAAAGTTTGTTGCTGCTTAATTAATTGGCCCCAGCCACATACTTACTTTTCGTTCCTTGAGACATTTTAACTGGTATTCCGTTCATTTGCTTATTATTATTTGCTTTGCACGCAATGGGCAAATATCCCTAGCTTGTTACCTGCTCTTGGTTATGTCTTAGTGTCAGCAACCTTTGCTCCTCCCTCCCCACCCTGCTTCTGTGGTTGTGTGGCCTTTGGAAAACACTCCCTACCTACTCTTTACCCTGCCGCTCAAGGGGACCCCAGCATTGCTTGAGTGATTGTTGCATTGGAGCATGATGCTCTTTATCTAGTGTTTGGACTATCTGACCTATTGTGCTGCTCTCTTAACTATTGTAGTTTAATGGTATTTCTTCTCAAGTTGATTTGGAATCTTTTGAAATTTATGCTCAAAGCTAGTAGAAATTTTTTTTTTATTTTTAATACAGAATTGTTGAAGTTAATGAAGGGATTTTAATATAAATTTTAAGAACAGGGGCTAATGGAAAGATGTTAGGAGGAAAGTACACACCCAAAGCAAGGATGTGGGCCTCTCAGAAGAGTCACATTTAAGTGTCTTTGTAACAGATACATATATGTATATGTATATGTGTGTGTATGTAAATACACACACACATATATAAACAATTTGGATGGCTTCTGAAGTTATATATCAAAAGATTGTCGAACAAATTTTCCTTTTGTTTTCATTTTTCTGGGAAATGAGATAGGCTGGGGTTCACTAGATATAGGATTACACAAGGGCCTTGTGGCATGTGCAGTGCAAATAAAGATTATAGTCTTGTTTTGTAAAATTTCCAGAAACCTGTAGCTTTATGTCTGGGAAAGGAGCAGGGTGATATGTGCTTATGCCTTAAGTGTAGTTCATTGCCATTTAACCTTCCTATTTGAAATCTCTATATAAAAGGGAAAACTGTTTCTTTGCCGGCAACCTTCACAGCAAACATTATTAATAGTGGGGAAATCTTGGCTTTCAGGTGTCAAGAAACTCCAAAAATGATTCCTTTTCATGTCTCCTACCTCACTTCCCCTCTGAGACTTTGACCCCTTAATTTTAAGAGTTGCTGGTGGTTGTAGATATGTTTCCTATAACTTATTTGCTGAACAGGGATAATATATGCCCTGTCTATCTAGCCATCAGCTGACTCAAGCTACCTCATCAATACAGAATGTGAGAGAATCTGAGCATGGAGATTGCATGAGCATCATTCCATGGGAATGTAGATGAGAGGGTGTCATTACCCGCCACATCAAACCACATAAGCAATAAAGCATGCAGTAGATTGTTGCACCTGGTTCTAAGATTAGCACTCAAGTCACTGGGCCTTTTAATCAGGTGGTACCTGAGACCTGTGCTGTTAATGAGTCACTAAAACTTACCACAGAACCCTACAGTGATTCAATTGTGGTCTATAAATCTTGGAGGATTGAGGATCCATATCCCAGTTGTCAGTTGCATATACCCAGCACTTTAACGGTGGCATAGGTTCTCTGTGTGCTGTTGATAGACTATCGGGGCCATCGGTGTGACTGTCCTCAACTTTTGGAAGAAGTGTAGACCTGATTATATACTGGTGAGTATGGGAAAATACAAACAACAACTCTAAGAATTTTTTTATTTTATTTTTAAATAACATTTCAGATTGTGCGTGTATACATGAGTGCAGGTGTGTGTGTAAATCTGGAACTTATATTATTAACAGAAACCACCAAGGTATCAGATGGATTTGCTTACAGTTCAGGAACTTCTCTTAAGAGAGACGGGGCATACATAGTACAGTCTGATGCTTATTTTATCATTAGTTGACAAGGCCATTTAAATTGAATGCAACTTTAAGAGGGATGGGCTAAAATGGAAGTTTTCTGAACTTCCTGGTACTGTAACATGTCTGCTTCATCATAGATTTAGACTCTTGTGACTAATCACAAGCATGCCCTGCCTCGCACTTCCTCTTATTGACACTGACATTGTGAAATACTTTTCTCTGAGTGTGTATGGGGTATTTGGTGGAGACGGATATTGTGGGAAAAGTTCCTGTCAGTTGGTTGTTTATCTTCCATTGCCTGACTAGAGAAGGATTTGAGTTTCTGGTCTCTGTTCACAAGGGCCAGTCTATCAAGCCCTCTTACATCTAAAGAACAGCCCAGAACTAGCAAAGAGTAATTTCTCTGTATGCTTAGTTCTCTTTGCCCACCCTTAGTCACTGTGGTCCTAACTGTCTGTCCCTGAATGCGGTCTGGTCCTTCACTCTGGATTCTTTTTCCTATAACAGGCCACAGTGAAGTGTTGCAGAAGCCCTCATTGGGATAAAAGACAGGTTCTCAGGCCTTCACTCATTACTAGTTACCCAGTAAGAGTAGTTTTGATCTTGTTAGTGGTGTGTGGACCATGCCTCCCCCCCCCCACACACCTTTACCTCCCTTATCCCCTTCTTCCCATTCTGTCATAAGTTAAAAACTACCAGCGAGTGGAGGGGACGATACTATGAGGTCTCTAGAGATGAACTGGCCATGCCCTGTGTCTTATATAAGAAAAAGATGTCTGAAGACATACGAAATTTTTGCAAATGAATTTTCTGTTGGTTTCAGGGCTACAGGTAAAACCAGGAGACAGAAACTGGTGGAAGGAGATTCACTTAGATGAGGGCTTGAGAGGGTAGACAGTTATTGAGGCTTCTAAGAGATACAAGTAGTTACACTGAGATAATATATATTTATCCCCTGATCTTTTTCTTTCAAAGTCAGAGCTGACCCAAGATTTTCTGGGAATTGGCACCTTTATTTTCTCTTCAGGGGCTCTGTTTTTCTGCCAGTCAGCTCAGGTTAGTTGAGGAGAGAGAGGCTGCTCTTTAGAAATGCCCTTTGAACTCAGAGTAGCAGGTGAGAGGAAGTGGGTCTGTAGAAGATGAGCAGAAACTCTCTTGCTCTGCTTATATTACACATCGAGGCAGATCAAAGGGGAAGATGAGCTCTCTGCTAAGTATTTTCTGAAAAGAACCCTAAGTTTCAGGCCCAGTATATTTTGAGTAGGAGGAATTGCCAGACCCAGCACCTCTCAAGCAGCCCATTGAAATGCTAGTTCTGTTTGTTGACTTAGTCCCCCCCATCCTCATCCTTTTTCCTTTCAGGTAAATCTTTTACCCCCACCGCCCCCACACATTTAACATTGTGATCAAGGATCCCTTGTGTCTACTAGTATCACCAGTCTGATTTTATATTTTCTGTTTATTCAAGATGATTTAGTTAATAACACTGTAGATTACCCCCCTTTCATTGTCCTTAATTTTTGTAATGAGCTCAGATATATTTTGCTCAAGGCGGTCCTTGAAATAATGATCCTCCCACCTTTGCCTCCAGAATGCAAGAATTACTGGCATACACCATGGCACCCCACCCTTGACTTTAGTTTTAAAAGCCATACCTATGTGGTTTTGGTTTATAGGCAGAACAGACTGGAAGTGTGCGCCCCTTGTGTGATTCTCCCCACTTTTCTTTGGAAAATTGTCAAACTTTAACCTAGTCCCTTGTTTCCCCACACTGCGAGTGTATAGTGGAAATTGCATTTGATAGAATTGACTTAACTGACAGAAAATAATTTGGCTTGCCTCTTGGCTTAAGGGGAAGCTGTTGAATAACAGTGATACAGTGAATGACTAAGGTAGTTCTAGCGGGAACCAGTGGGTTCAGGTATTCAGTATTTCCAGGACCCTTTCTTTTATCACTTGGATTTATTTGCTCCCTTCCATGTTAGATCTTGTTTCTGTTAATTTGCCTCTGAAACTCAAGTTGTGTTATACTATAGATGAGAAAGTTACAGCCCACCATGCATAGAAGGCCAAATTAGAGTCCATTTACTTTCAGCCTAGCCAAAGAGTGGGTTAGTGCCTCAAGGAGATTTCGGTACAGAAGTTCTGGAGTATAGCATTTTTAAAGACAAAAGACCACACTGACCACAAGTATATCAGTCTTAGATAAGGGTCAAAGTAACCTTGCATCATCTGTGTCAGCAAAACTTAATAGTTGTTCCAGTCACAGCATGACAATTAGTTTTGACTTATACCCTTATCAGTTATTTATGTTAATCTTTAGTTTGTACAAACATTACTTATTTTGGTCAGTAAGTCTGGACCATGGCCAGGGTCATGGGAAACCCCAAATGTGTCTGTTGTGGGGGATTGGGCTGAAGAGTGCCTAAACAGATATAAAATGGAGTCAGGACAAGACAGCATTACCTTAGTCATTTCAGTTTAGTGAAAGTGGCTGCAGCAGCTGTGCTCAAGTTCCTGGCAGATGTTACTAAGCTGAAGTTTATGACCCAGCTTGGGTTGTGCACCTACCCCTAGGTGGTCAGCCCAAATTGGTAGGTCACAAAATATGACCTCAGAAGGGAAATTGGCCTGAAAGAAAATAGGGATCTAGTTACATAAACAACAGGAAATGACTGTTAAGTGAGCAAAAATAACATTTGCTTTCTGGAGAGAAGATAAGATCATTGGGTATAGGTGGAGTTTTTCATCTGGACCACCAGCTGCTTCCCAAATAACCACCCAGAGATATATTATTAATTATAAATGCTTAGCCGATAGCTCAGACTGAATACTAACCAGCTCTTACAACTTAAATTAACCCATTTCTATCAATTTGTGTGCTGTCCCAAGGCTCATGGCTTTTACTTCTCCTGTATGCCCTGCTTGCTTCCTTTCCTTCTGGCTGACATCGCCTCTGACTCCAAACTTCCTCTTCCCTGCCCTGTATTCTCTCTGCCCTGAAAATTGAGCCTAGCCATTATCCAATCAGCTTTTTAGTAACAATGAGAGCAATACATATTAACCAAGATTGTTGTACTGAAACTGGGACTAAGCCTTCTCAAAGAAATCCATAGAACTTACTGTGATCTAGAAGTTGACGAGTTTAAATATCAAACAAACAGATTCATTGGGCACAGCTGAAGGGCATTCTGGGGTCAGTCTTGAGCTATGGGGATGATGCTCATGGGACAGACTTGCTGCTGCATGACCTTTGCATTAATCCTATTCAGCTGTACTTGGAATTGCAAATGCCTGAAACTAATTAGATCAGAGATGTTTCAGCTGAGTTAGATGAGACTCTGGGTTTCTTGTAATTTTAGTTTCGTTTTCCACCTTTCCAATAAGAATGTTTTTCGCTTACACTACTGCACCATCACACATATTTAGACTTGATAACCAGTAGGGTTTTCAATTAGCAATTGGAAGAAGAGAACAAATTTTTAAAAACACTCTAATAAAAAACACTCTTTTAAAAAAGTTAAAGAAGAAAGAAAATGTTTATGTGAACATGTACGTGGTTACTTGTGTGCCACAGTGCACATCCGAAGGCCACAGGATAGCTTGGGGGCTGTGGGTCTTAGGAATTGAACTTAGTTCATTAGACTTGGCAATTAGCAAGTACCTTTACCCAGTGAGCCTTCCAGTGACAACAGTTTCTGAGAGGAGAGCCTCTCATTCTCGTGTCTAGCTGTGGTCTGACACCTGTGCTGAGCATGGAGCTGGAGCATCTCTGTCAAGGGTACACTTGAACTGTGAGTAAGTAGGAGCCAGACCGAGCAGCTGGATGGCAAATCAGGAGTCAGAAGGATTTTTAGAAAGTCAGAGGAGTTTTTAGAAGGTCTTAGTCAGTTCAGATAGCACTACAGTGGTTTATTTCTCATAATGATAGTTGATAATTTGGCAACTTGGCCTTATTGGTCATAATCTTTAGTATTCTGGGTTATTTTAGAGTTATAAATTCTGTTTATAAATAACCTAATGAGATTCTTTTCCCAAGTGTAAATGGAGATTATGTGTGGAATGAAAAGATTTGTTTTCTGTTTTGGGGGATTGCTTCTAAGATTAGGAAAACTGGTTCAAATTAGAATTCAGCTGTTGAAGCAGAGCCTGCTGCTCATGGAAAGGACAAGGCTTACATTGATGTCATAGTGTTTGTATTTTTATTTATGTATTTCTGTGTGATTATGCACATGTATATTTGAGGACACACCACCCCCCAGAGGCAAGAATAAGATAGCAGCTACATTGTAGCTGGAGTTACAAGGAGTGTGAGCTCTCTGACATTGGTGCTGGAAATTCTGGTACCCGCAGGAAGCTCTCTAAACCACTGGGTATCTCTCCAGCCCCTGCACTGGCTTTTTAAATTTTTAAATTATTCTTCTTGGTTTTAGTTACTTTTCTGTTGTGATTTTTAAAAATTGGCAAAAAGTAACTTAAGGAAGAGTTTAGTTTGGCTTATAGTTCAGAGAAATAAGAATCTTTTGTATCCGAGCAAGGTAGCACACTCCTTTAGTCCCAGCACTGTGGAGGCAGAAGCCAGCAGATCTGTATGAGTTCTAGGATAGCCAGGGCTACATAGAGACCCTATCTCCAACACCTCCCTATCCCACCCCATGTGTACGTAGTAGCAGGCAGGCATGGTAGCACAGCAGAGAGCTGAGAGATCATGTTTAATAGCACCGTGAGCCAAGAGTGAACTGGAAGTCGGCAAGGCTTTAAACTCAAAAGCCCACCCTCAGTGAGTGGCCTATTTATTTCAACAAGGCTGCAGCTCCCCAGAATGCCTCCACCTGGGGGGGTGGGGCACCAAGTTCCTGAGCCTCTGCGGACATTCCTCATTAGACCACCTCCTTCTCTTTTCCTATCACTATCTTCCCTTACAACTTCAGATACAAGAAAGGGAGAGACTAATTCTGCATCAACAAAGAGAAAAGACTTGGCCAGCTTGACTATCGCAGAGTGGACTCTCTATGAAATGTAGAGGGGATGAGTGTGTATGTGATGGTAAATGCAACCGGTGAAGTTTTGGTGGAATTGTTTGACTCAGGAGAGGCTGTATACCATCATATTTTCAATGGGTGCAAAGTGAGAAATGATTCCAGATTTGAATTTGACTGTTGCAGTTGGAATTCCTGATGATCGATATGATAGTGCCCTTTTGTAAATTGTTAGTCTTTGAGTGACAGAGGTTATCATCTTTTTTATGGGTGAGAATTGAAGCATTTTAGAATTAAGACATTGACTTCTAGAGCCCACACACTTGTCCATCTGTCTTGCTGTCTAGTTGATTAACCTATTTTATCATTTTCTTCTATCCATTGGATAGCTGCAATATTTTAACATGAGTATCTTTTCCTTCTTGTTAGCTTTTTTAGAAGCCTGCTTGGAGATTATGGCTGAAAAGTTGGACCCCGAAGCCCTGGCTGATGGTTCAGAGCCACTTTTTTCCTTTGGAGTTATAGCAGATATTCAATATGCTGACTTAGAAGATGGATTCAATTATCAAAGAAGCAGGCGGAGGTACTACCGACACAGTCTTGTTCACCTACAGGGTGCCATTGAAGACTGGAATAAAGAGACAAGCCTGCCCTGCTGTGTCCTACAGCTCGGAGACATCATCGATGGCTACAATGCACAGTATAAAGTATCAGAAAAGTCTCTAGAACTTGTCATGAACACATTCCAAATGCTTAAAGTCCCAGTTCACCACACATGGGGAAACCATGAGTTCTATAACTTCAGTAGAGACTTCTTAGTGAACTCTAAACTTAACAGCAAGTTTCTAGAAGACCGAATTGTACAGCATCCTGAGACCATGCCATCAGAGAACTATTATGCTTATCACTTTGTACCATTTCCTAAATTCCGGTTTGTTTTACTTGATGCTTATGACCTGAGTGTCTTGGGCATAGATCAGTCTTCTCCAAAATATGAGCAGTGTATGAAGATGCTGAGGGAGCACAACCCAAATGTGGAGTTAAATAGTCCCCAAGGTGAATTATTGCTTTGAGCTGAGAATCTAATACATTGTCTTTAAATTCTTCAGCTACCTTTTATTCAGCAGGAAGATGGATGATTAAGGTAAAAGTTTATTGTCGCTGTTGTTCAGGGTCAGGATTCTTACAAGCTTGATGAATTGGTTATAAGTTTTGAATGCCCATCCTGGAGGGGGGTGTGTGTACACATATATGTATGTATATATATATATATATATATATATATATATATATATAGAGAGAGAGAGAGAGAGAGAGAGAGAGAACCATAGCAGTGTGTAGGTAGGGCAGATAATAAATTTATTTGTTAGCTTTCCAGCACTGATTAATTCCTAAAATAATCAACTTATAAGGAGGAAAGCCCTGTCTTGGCTTATAGTTTGTGGGTTTTTATTTAGTCCATAGTCCCTTGTCCTGGTTGCATTTTGACCTGTGGTGAAACAACATGTTATAACAGAATACATACCAGAGCAAACCGCTTGCTCACAGACAGGAAGCTAAGTGGGAGAAGAGGGTCTGAGCTTGTAGTCTCCCTTGTGACTTGACTTCCCTCACTAGCTCCTGCCTCTAAAAGATGCTACCAACTCCTAGTAGCAGCATAGTTAGTGACCAAGTCTTCAGTGTATGAGCCTTATTGGACATTTCAGATCCAAAGTATAGCATTAAATGAAACAAAAGCAAGATTATCTCTCATGATTAACTGTGTTGGAAAAGAACAGCAAAGAACTGGGGGTGCTGTTTTAGACCAGGTGAGCAGACATAGGTGCTCCCTGGACTCAAGTGTTTAAGCTGTTGTCTAGGGATTTACACTTGGAAAGAGTGGGGTAGGAAGCTGGAAGGCACAGGGAGACACAGATATGAAGGCACTAAGTTGCACAAGACTTCGGCATTACTAAGCAGCACAGGATCCACCTGGCAAAGGTGACTGGCACTAGACTGTGTAGTGGGACCTGAAGGACGTAGAAAGGGGGTTGCATTTTCAGTGTAGTGGAAAGCCAGTGAAGTAAGCAGAGGAGACCAAGGCTAGAATTCACGTCACTGTATTTATATATTGCTCTACATTCCTAAGATGGTGCTCAGATATCCCGGAAGAGCATTTTCTCTATGTTAGTAAAACTTGAATGTCCAAATGAGGGGGAAAATGACATGCCACGGGTCTAATTTGCTGAATTCATTCAGGACTTTCTGAGCCCCAGTATGTCCAGTTCAATGGAGGATTCAGCCAAGAACAGCTGAACTGGTTGAATGAAGTTCTTACATTCTCTGACCTGAACCAGGAAAAGGTGGTGATTGTGAGTAAGTATGTAAATTGTTTCCTTGGTTACCTGCATTTTGGGAATTGGGAAATTATCCATGAAAAAATAGTAGTATTTGTATTTTAATGCCCTCTTTCTGTAAAACAGATGTTTTAACTACACTTTTTTTTTGTTTTGAGATTTTAAAATAATTTTATTTAGTGTGTGAATGTTTGCCTGAATGTGTCTTTGAGTACCAGGTGTTTGCAGTACCCCAAAATACCAAAAGACGGTGTCAGGTCCCCCCTTCTGGAATTACAGACAGTTGTGAGATGACTTGTGGGTGCTGGGAATTAAGAGCAGCCAGGCAGTGCTCTTAACTGCTAAGTATCTCTCCAGTCTTACTTAATAGTTTTCACTGACCTATAATATAAATCTTAACATTTATGAAGGAAATAACAAAACCATTTTGCCATCTATTATTGTCTCTGAGTTTCCCCTGTAGGTTTTGAAGTGGACTTTTCCCAACTGGGATCAAATTATGTACTTTTAACTGAGAAGTTCTTTTCAGGCCCCACCAAGTCTTAGCTTTAGGAGCCCCAGCTGACAGTGAAATTGCTACTATGGTGTCACTGTTGTCCAGTTAAAGCAGAGCTATTATGAGATGGGACAGCAAGCTCTTGCAGTTGTCTACCAATCCCACCATTCCAGAGGCATTAGTTTTCCTTTAGAACCAGTTTTGAGACACACTGCCGTCAGAGATAGTAGGCAATTTGGAAGGTGAGCCTGCTCACACATGATGTCTGGGTGCCGTCTTCCTCTTTGTTTCATGAGTGTTGACAAACAAAACCTGTGAACTAGAAATTTCTCAGCTTGTAACATCATTAATGAAAATCCTTTGAAAATGATAGGCTCTTCAGGTGATTGATAATATAATCTGTCTGTAAAGTACATTGAATAGGAGCATGTCTGCTGCCATTCGACCATCCTTTTAGCCTCTCTTAGCTCATGTGAGAGGAAGGAAGAAGGGGAGGACACACACAAGTGCTTGGGCACATACACTTCCTCCTGCTTTAGGGGTCTTTTCCCTACTCCCTCTCTCACTAGCTTATAAACAGGTAGGCATTAAATGGAACTTGTTTGGATGTAAGGGTACAGATGAGCAGGAGCAGAGTAGAGCAAAGTGATTGGAAGGAAGCCAAGATTGGTGAGTAGTGCTGTTCCCTTCAGAGTGCAACTCTGGCCTGGTGCCTGGTCTCAGGAGGACTGGAAGTCCTGCGTATTTCCTCTCAGCCTGAGGTCAATGTTCTGAGCTTTCAACGGTTTTTGCAGCTGCAAATTGATCTGGCAGTCTTGATCTCCAGAGGTTCTTTAGAATCTCCTGAACTGTTGCTGTTCAGTGACATTTTTATATGACACAACCCTGGGCTGTTTTTTTTTTTTTTTAATCATTTTTTATATGTAACATCCCTATTTATGGAAATCAGTAAGATTGGATTCCAGTGCAGAATCTGGCTGACTCCTCGCTGCCTTTCCAGATGCTCAGCACAAGATGTCTTGGGGATTCTGTAGAACTCAGACATCATTTTCCTATACAAATGTGCCTTCCACCTTATATTTGAACCAGTTACCCATCTGTTTGTTCTGTGTGCCAGAGATAAGGCTTTAGATTGCCTGCTTGGTAGCTCAGTCTGGCTTTCAACTCATGATTTGAAATTATAGAGCTTGGTCTTGGTGTGGATTAAGAAGAATTATATTTAGGTTTGGTTTTGGTGAGTACTAGCTTTTGGTCTTTTTTCTTAATGAAAAACAATTTAATTGGCTCCTAATTTTTCTTTAACAGGCCATCTTCCCATTTACCCAGAGGCCTCTGACAGCGTGTGCCTGGCTTGGAACTACATGGATGCGCTGTCAATCATATGGTCTCACAAGTGTGTGGTGTGTTTCCTTGCTGGTCACACACATGATGGTGGCTACTCTGAGGATCCTTTTGGTGTGCACCACGTCAACCTTGAGGGAGTTATTGAAACAGCTCCAGATAGCCAGGCCTTCGGCACAGTTCATGTCTACCCTGACAAAATGCTGCTGAAAGGGAGAGGCAGAGTCCCAGACAGAATTATGAATTACAAGAGGGAACAAGCTTTGTGTTTTTAGGCTCATTATCTTGTCTGTCTTTGTAGAAAGAGAATGGCATTGTTTTTTGTTTTACTCCATTACATACAAAGTTCAATTCTCACTGGGTATGGTGGCTCACACCTTTAATCCCAGCATTTAAGAGGCAGAGGCAGGCAAATCTCTCAGTTCGAGGCCAGCCTGGTCTACAGAGTGAGTTCCAGGACAGCCAGGACTATTACATAGAGAAACCCTGCCTCAAAAAAGACAATTAAATTCTCAGTCCAAGTGTTAGTATTGTTTGTGTACAAAGTTCATTTGTGGCTTGAGTATGTATGAGTGAAGATAAAATTCAGAAATGTTGTTTTTGAATAAAACATTCAAGTGCTGACAGCTAGAAGTAAAGCAAACCAGGAAGGGGACTTAAGGGCGTGTAGTCTCATGAGGGACTGTGTTTAGCCTAATTTGAATTTCCTCCCTTTTGTATAAGGAGAATGTGCTCTTGTGTGAACTCTAGCACTTAGTACATGGGAGTCTGCTGCGCTTCCCCAATGTGTGGGTTTGCTTTGGACCGTTGTGGTTCAGAGCACCTATACTCACATAAAGGTGACATTACTGTTCTGTGAATTAAAACTGAACTTATTTCAGGTGAAGGCATGGCATTTTCATCCCAGAAAGAGCCTGCAGGGAATTGCCATGTGACACTAGGATCACACGCTGAGTGCTGACTAGCCTGCTCTGTTTTAAATACCCAGGACAGGGGATCACAGTGTAGAAAATCATTTTTGACTTCTTCTCTGGACAAATGGAGCCCACTCCACTGTTGTTTGTGTCAAGGCTTAGCTGCAGAAAGTCTTGACAGCAAACAGACCATTGAAGAGTAGAGTTTGATTCAGGGCTGAAAAACAGAAATACTAATCAGCATAATTATCATGTGCAGCTTCTACCAGAAAACAGGTACATTAGTTTCTTTGACTGCCCCAGTGAATTCTCCAGTGAGGCTGAAAACAAAGTGTTGGGGTGGCCATATCCAGTGGGAAGCTCTGGGCAGATCCTCTTCCTTGATACCAGCCGCTCAAGATGCTCTTTGGCATCACTTGACCATCTGGGTAGTCTAAGTGCCTGCCCGTGTCAGGGTTCATGACCTCATTTGTAAAGTTCATCTCACCATGTAAGGCTGAACAGGGATCGTGACTTTACCCAGCCAGCCACAGCATGGCTGTTATGTGTTCTGTGTACACTCAAGTCACCAGGATAGAGGAAAACATACAAATACAAGTACAAATGTGAGGAATTGCCCACCACATATAAAAGGACAAAGAATGTCGAAGACTTGAATTTCATTTGAAGAGATTAGGGATGACGGGGAGAAAAGAAGAAAAATGGTTTAGATGAGTGGGGAAGGCCAGTGAGTGTGGGAGGAGAGTTAAACTGTAGGAGGAACTCTTGGTTTCTGAGCTGTGGATGTGTGTCTAGAGAGTAAACTGACGGGCAGGCATAGGAAAAGGGAGAAGATTGTGGGGTCCTTGGGAGACATCCTGAGAACTAGAATGTTAAATCTGCTGTTGATTCTTAATCCCAATAGAAACAGTGGAGTATACCTTCACCCCTCCAAAGCTGTGCATGTGCCAGTGGCTGTCATCTAGTATCATGGCTGCCCTTTTGCTTCTGTTGAAGACCAAGAAGTTCATCCTGTACCATTCAGACCAATAGGTCAAAACTAAGCATAACTAGCGAAATCTAGAAATAGCAAGGTGCAGGGAAGATTCCAAGCCAAAGCCCTGGGCCCAGTATTGGTTATAGGGAAGACAAGACAACCACTGCCCAGTGGCTTTTGGAAGTCCTGGTCTGGAAGTGCCCCTGATAAACTACAAGTCTCACTGTGTTGAGATCATTCATTCCTTCCCCCAAGAGCCACAAGACCCTTGAAGAGAGAACAGCATATCTGGCCAGCAAAGAAAATGAATTAACAGTTCACAGGCACATCTTATTTATACTGAAATAAAACAGTAAATGCTTAAGGTAGAGGAAGTTTAGCCTGCCATGTTGGCTAGCCTGACCTACATGGACCCCGCCTGAAAAAAAAGTAAATAAAAATCATTCCATTGCTAAGGACCAAAGCCAAGTACAGACCAAAAGTTAGTGTCTTCCATGCTTCTCTGAGGGTGCAAAAGGTACTATGAACATTTACAGCCATACTGGTCTGATAGAGGGACTTAAAATACTCTATATATTTTGAACATATGAGTCATTTACACAGAAGTCAAGCATGATTTGGAGGATCGATAAGGCCTATATCGAATTTTCAAATGGATTGGGTTCGTTATAACTAATTCCAAAGAAGATGTGCAAGCTGTAAAGAACATGTAGGCTAAAGGGACACTGGGAAACTCAACGCTTTGATATGTATTTTATTGACTCAAAGTGCACTGTAATCGATTTAATATCAATTTACTTTTTTCCTTGATAATCTGACTTCAGTGGCCAGTTTTTGAAAAGAAATATTCCTTTAGCATTTACAGAGTACCATTTCATTATAGGGTATAAAATTTTATCAGACTCATTCTCATTCCTTTGGCTTGATAGGCACTGATTCTATCTATTTAAGAAGCATTTCTTAAATTTCCTGAAATGATATCTTACGTCTTTTCTGTTGTTGAGACAAAACACCATGACCAAGGCAACTCATCTAAGAAAGCATTTAATTTGGGACATAGGGTTCTAGAGCCATGGTTCCCAACTTTCCTAATGCTGCAACCCTTTAATACAGTTTCTCATGTTGTGACCCCCAAGCATAAAATTATCTTCATTGCTACTTCATTAACTGTAATTTTGCTACTGTTGTGAATTGTAATGTAAATATCTGATATGCAGATGGTTCCTCGTGACCCCTATGAAAGGGCCATTCAACACCCAAAGGGGTTGCAAACCACAGTTTGAAAACTTCCAGAGGGTTAGAGCCCATGATGGCAGAACAAAGGCACAGTGGCATGAATGGCAGAGAGCTTAAATCTTGTTCCAAAATGAGGAGGAGAGAGGCACTGGGAATGCCCTCAAATCTCAACCCCAGGAGGCCACACATTTTAGCCTACCCACACAGATTGTCTCCTGAGGACCAAGTATTCAGGCATATGGGGGCCATGCTAATCCAAACCACTCATGTGGTTACAGAGTTTAATTCCAGCCTAGATAAACTTCCCATCCAGATATCTAATGCACCATGTGAGCTAATTAAATAATCTAACACACTCAACATTTACAAGTAAAAACATTTTATTTAGCCTAATTTATCTCAAAATACTTTTCAGCATACAATCAGTATAAAATGTATTCTGTGTTTATGTCTAAACTATATGTTTTGCACTGAACATATCCACCTGACTTAACGATTGCAAATACTTCATCTGTAAATAACACATGCACAAATGCTTGAGGACACACACACAAAACACATATGTCATTCCAAACACACTTAACCTTTTTTCTGGCAATTGAGTATCTGCTTCTAAAAGTACAAAAGTTAAGAATGTATTTCTCTGGACACCCTGCCCACAAGTTAAGTGGTCAGTAACAACACATGGCTTCTCTGTTGGGTTTTGTTGCTCTACAGTGTCCTGAGTATGGTTGTATAGATATTCATTAAAACAACGTACAGGCATACATATATAGAGATTTCTTCTTTTCCACTGAGAATAAGAAATTATGATTAATAGTCTCTATTCTTTTTTTCTGTATTCCAAATTCGTCTTTTCTAAACTTTAATTTCTATGGTTTTCCTACTTTCATTGCAAGACAAACATCATTTGGCTCACCTGTTCTAGAGTTTTTCTTACTTTGTGTCACTGAGCCAGGTAACTATACTGGACTTAGTTTGGGGTTGCAATCTTTTCTTTCTTTTCTTGACTTTACCTCCGTGTCAGCATATTTATTACCCAACCTCTGCCAACACCCCCCCCCTCCCCCCCGGTCAAATAGAGCCCTTTGGAATCCGCACACACTGTCTTCTCAGAGTGCCTTCACATTGGTTTGGTTTTGGTAACTAAGGGTGTCTGACATCCTGGTTTTGCCCCACTCCCAACCCCCTCATAAAGGGTGAAAGCTAAATTCAAACTCAAATTTCTGATCATGGCCTGTTCTACTCCTGTCAGAGAAGAGACCTTTGGAGAATCAGGCCTTAATCTTACCTGCCCTGTTCACAGTCTTTCATCATGTTGTAGGCAGCCTTGTTAAATTCTGAAGAGTTTAAATCATCTCTAGGATTCACTCAGATGTCTTGAAACAAACCAGGAAACTGCCCTGTTTCCTGGTTTATTTATACTCTAATGTGTATAAAATACTGAAAATACTCATTTCATCATTGAATTCATCTAAATGACTGTCTTGCAGTGAGTCGGCCAGGAGGACCGCATCTCCTTGTTTATGTATACATAAACCCATGAAATGAGTGGGAGAAGAGTGATCCCAACAGCAATAGCCAAGTGCATTCTTCCACCAACTGGATTCCTATCAAAATAAAAATTATTGTAAAGTCCAAGAAAACAAATTGCTTTGGAAATACGCATCAAGTTTGAATCGGTAAAATGTTACATCTTAGTAGTTTCCATTTATGAAACTAATATTTAGATAAAATCTTTATTATACTTAAGTTGATATATGCTGCAAATGCCTTCTCCCACTCCATGTTGAGGAATATTGATTAATTAGACTATACAAAAATTAATCTTTCCCTATTTTTTTTTCCCTCATAAGGAATCTCTCCCTTCCTGAGACTGACTGTTCAAGACAGGGTCCTGCTGAGTAGCCCTTGCTGGTCTTATATTTGTTATGTACCTCAGGCTGGCCTTGAACTCCTCAACCCAAGTGTTGGTATAAGAAGATGTAGCACCCTGTTCAGCTTTTCCCAAGGTCTTGAAGACACTTGCTTTCTCTGGAAATTTTGTTGTTTGAAGTTTTTTTTTTTTTTTTTCATGACAATAAAATCTTTAAAGATTTTGCTATCTGTGCTTATGAGTAACATTACTATAATTTTTTAAAAATGTTTTTGGAAAATTTTGTTATACAGGTTGTTGTGCCCTCACCACGAGCTCCGGAAAGCAGCCCTTCCTTCCTGCCCCAGAGGCTTTTGCTGATGGGCAGCACTGTTCTTCCTTAATGCTAGATTTCATCAGCTATGCCATCTAGGTCTACAGTTGTCTTTTAGGGAAAATAGAAAAAAAAAAAAAGACTGGAAAGTGATGAACTAAACTTCCAAGAAGGTAGGAACATCCAGCTGAATGAGGAGGGGCTCATGGTCCCCTAGCCCCAGAATAAACTGGGGTGTTGGCAATTGCTGGAGGAGGGAGAGTCAGCGTTCTTTAAGCGTGTGGCCCCTGGTAGGCTGACCATGCTCCAGTGGATGGCCACAGACCTGGTGATTCAGGCTCATAATCCCAACTACTCAGGAGCCTGAGGCAGGAGGATTGAAAAAATACAACACCCGCCTGGTAGAGCGTGAGTTCAAAGCCAGACTGGGCAACTGAGACCTTGCCTCAAAATAAAAAGTAAAAAAATCTGGGGATGTGGCTCAACAGTTGAACAAATGCCTTAGCTTGTACAAACCTTGTATTCAGTCTCGAGCACCTGAACAATAAATGAGTAAATTTTATAAATCAAGTCCAGAATAGGAATTCCCTAAAATGCCTTACAGCATTGATAACTCTTTTTAAGTCAACTGAATGTTTTGATAGAATCGTTCACTTAATCTAGGATTTTAAATACAATGCACAAAGTTGTTTGCAGTGCTATCTGAGGACTTGATTGGCTAGCTGTGCCATGTGTTCTTGTTTACCCCAATGTTTCTTTTACTTATGCCTCTTCAGGATCCCGCTGATGTATATTTTTTTATTTTATGTCTTTCCAGGGCTTATTGTTATGATAATTTTAGAGAATCCATATTTGGCTTATGGGTTCTCTTGTTTTTGCACATCAACTTTTCATTTAATTGGTTTTTACTTTAATGTTTATTTTCTTGTTGGGGGGGCGTTAGCTTCATGTTCTCCTAAGCTTGAAGCCTAGCTCATACATCCCAGCCTCCTCACCCCTCATAGCAAATATACTCTGGACTCCAGAATTTATATCTAAGCATGGTTTTAAGCCTCATTTCATTAATGTAAGCATTGCCCCTTTCAGTCACAGATGTTTCTGATTTCCATTGTGCTTTCTTTTTTTTTGACTCAGTTGTACTTGAAAGCAAATTTCCTAGTTTCCAAATGTACAACAGTTGCCTAGTTATATTGTTGTTAATGGTTTCCATGTTGATTACACTATGTTCAGAGAATATACTTTGTAGGATATAAGTTCTTTGAAATATGTAGGGAGTATTTTATGACTGAGGCTATAGTGTTTTTGAAATAATGCACATGTGAAAAGAAAGTGGATTCTGCCGTGTGTGTGTGTGTGTGTGTGTGTGTGTGTGTGTGTGTGTGTGTGTAGGCCAGAGGTTGACACTGACAGTCTTATTATTGTATTACTGAATACAGTTTTGTTTTAAGATTTATTTTTACTTTGTATGTATAAGTATTTGCCTATATGTATGTAAGGGCACCACATGTGTACCTGTCTGGTACCCGTGGAAGCCAAAAGGGCCTTGAATCCCCCAGGACTGGAGGTACAGGCTATTGTGAGACACCATGTGGGTGCTGGGAACTGATCTCAGGTCCTCTTCAAGAGCAGCAAGTGCTCCCAACTGCTGAGGCATCTCTCCAGCCTCACTGCCCACCTTTTCTGGAGGCAGGGCCTCTTACAGAACCAAGAACTCACAGACTGGCTGAACTTGCTGACCAACAAGGCCCTAGGACCCATGAGTCTCCAGTCTCTTAAGCACTGGGGTTACATGTGAGACAGATCTACCTGTTTTATATGGGTGCTGAGAATCTGAACTCAGGTCTTCGGGCTTTCACTGCAAGAGTTTTATCAACTGAGTCATCTTCACCAGCCCAGATTCTTTCATCCATAATCATGTGTCCTAGAGTGTTCATGAGTCTAGTTTCTTGTGTAAATAAAATCTTCCGTATCTACACTGCCCTTTGTATTAATGAATAGAAGGAGTGTGTTAATGTTCCACAAAAATAATTGTGAATTTTTTTTTGTTTTTAACTGATGTTTATTTTATCTATTTGGAGACGATGTTATTGGGCACATACACATTTAGTATGATTGTATCTTCTTGAGAGACTGAAGGTTTGGCCATTAACAAGTGTCTTCCTAGCCAGGTATGGTGATACATGCCTATAATGTCAGCATTTAAGAGATAGATGAAAGAGGAAGATTGAGAGTTCAAGGTCATCCTCTGCTACATAGTGAGTTTAGAAACCCTGTTACAAAAAAAAAATGTGTGTGTGTGTGTGCTCTTGTGCGCACACACACACACACACACACACACACACACACACACACCCCTGCCAGGTGTACCTGTACATTATTTCAAAAACACTATAGACTCGGCCATAAAATACTCCCTACGTATTTCAAAGAACTTATATCCTTCAAAGAATATTCTCTGAGCATAGTGTGATTGACATAGAAACCATTAACAACAATGTACATGTAGAAATTAGGACATTTACTTTCAAATATACATTTGGGCCAAAAATATTTTTATGTGTTATGAATGTTTTGTCTACATGTGTGCCTGGTACCTGGTCAGAAGACAGCACTGGATCCTCTGAGACTGGAACTAACAGATAGCCAGCTATAAGCCATTCTTTGGGTGCTGGAAATGGAATTCAGGTCCTCTGGAAAAGCAGCCAGTGTTCTTAACCACTGAGCTGTTTCTCCAGCCTGAGTCCTTGGCTTTTAACTGATGAGTTGAACTTACTTTGCTGAGCTGTGACACAGTGCCATCCATGCTGTGATTATCACCAGGCCAGACAGCTCCCTGGAAAACACCCATGTTTCACATTATGAAGTATCCGCCGCACTCCCATAGCCACCGCACCCCCATTGCACGTCACCAGTAGTACAGCCCCCAAAACAGCCTGGGGCCTCATTTGTCATTAGTTTGATGCTTTTAAAGATGGCAGTGCTTTGCAGGGGCTTGAATCAATTAAAAAAAAAAATCTAAGCACACACTGAGAGAGCTGGCGGGGAGGGGGGGCTGCAGGAAGAATAAGGGCTTGTATTAATCAGACTAATACTGTTGAGGGGTGTGTGTTCATGGAGTTGTGTGTCGGGTGTGTGTGCCTCTTGCATTGGCTTGAGAATAAGCATGTTGTCACTGCCACTGGGCCACTGAGTTTTTAGAGGCAACTCAACCCATTTAGTATATATCCCCATCTACAGACCCAGCCTGGCCATCTTTCCAGTTCACATAAGCTAGGGTCCAGAGCAAACCATGCCTTGTCAGTGACACCTAACATACAAGTCCCTGAAGCATGGTGTTTACACGCTCCACTAGTGGAGAGGAAAGTAAGGTCTCTTCGTAAGACTGGGAGCCAAAGAAAGGAAGATCAAAATAAATGGTTCTGACCAAGGGAAATGATATGTGATACACCAAACAAGGTTGACTCAAAATACTGACGTCTGAAGTGGCTGGCTGATTTCCACATAAGACTATGACCTAAGGATGATTCAGGAAGTCGCCAGCTGATCAGACTGGAACGTTACTGTACTATACCCTCTCTAGTTACAGGGAGGTCAAGGTCCACCTGTCTGGTGGTAATGTTGTGGAATTGGCAATGGCTATGAGAGCTGTGATAGTAGAATTCAGGAGGCAATGCTGGGTCTGAATCCCGGCTCCACCATTCCCACAGTTCCTTCATCCTATAATGGCTGTGTTACCTACGTCCCTGCTCCTCCAGGTACATGGGGTGTGGGGGGGTGTTTAATCATCATTGGGCACAGGTAAGTTGCTGCTGTGAAGGATTCTGCTCCACCCCTCCCAAGAGCAAAAGTCGCTGCTCACCTGCCTTCTTCCTCATTTAGGATGCTCTGCTGTGCATGGAGCAAGAAGTGGTACGCCAAGCCACCAGCCCACAGCGTGCAAAACAGCATGTGTATCGCAGACACACTCTTCCAGATGAAATTGCCTACGAGTGCATACCCTGCAGCTGTTAATCAGGCTGAGTCCAGAAGCAAATGCTCTCTTTTACTTGATGAGAATTCAGTCATTTTCTTGGGAGAGCCACCCTTCCCACACCACTTGCCCATGACCAGCACCTGGCCTCAGCACTTTCTGTTGCTTAGCTTAGTGGAATCATACGTGCAAGCTTAGGCAAGGAGACACGAAGCATAGTTTTGCTTGTAATGATTAGCTTTCACCTACTAGGGGGACACATAAAAGCATGCCATACATTGGCATTGCTGTAAGTACTATGCACTGGGAGTTTGGAAGAAGCAACATATACTAATGAGGGATGCAGAGGTGTGTTGCAGACATGATAAGCACTTTCCATACACAAGTGGCAGTTTGTATACATAGATGTTTGAATAAATTTCAAATAAGAAAGTAGTTCACAGTGGAGGTGGTGTTCTAAGGATGTATAAAGAAAAGGAGTTGATCTGGATGAGAAAGAAATACATAAGAGGCAATGATTGCCCCTGAGTCTGAGAAGACAAGATTACCTCTGCAACTGATGGAGTAGCTGGTAGCTGGAGGCTTAAGAAGTTAGTGCAGTGACCAAACCTATCTCCCTTCTGAGCTAAATCTCATAAGCAATAATCATTCCAAGAGGTCGTGAGTCACTGTTGACAATGACTAGTATGTTAACACCTGGGAAAGCCTTCCTAGGACAGTCTAAGTGAAAGAGAGCTCCTCATTATGAGAAGGGAGAGGAAATGCCTGGAATCCTGGTTTTCTCTTGAGAGTTGGCCAGGTAGATTCTCATCATTCTAAGAACTCTGATTTGCGGAACCTCCATGGGGAATCCACTGTTCATACCTGTGACAAGAGGATTAAAACCAACAAGCAGGGTAAGTACTGCAGGGATCATGTACATCACCTGTGGGCAAAGAGGAAATGGGAGGGTTAGGACCTGTGCCCAAACCTGGGAGTGTAGCCTGGTAGAAGTAGAATGTCCTCGTCCCCAGCACTGAAAACAGGTTCAGAATAAAAATGTGGTCAGTGGTCCCCCAAGCCATGTAATTTTCCTGTTTCACTAGGCACCAAGGGTGTGATAACTTCTGCTACTGTGACCTCATCACAGGCTGTAATTACCAGGCTGTAATTCTTATCTCCCTTGGTCAGCTCCTCCTGCAGGAAAATACACTTTGGAACTCAGGCTATGGACCAAAGTGCTAAGGAAGAGGTCATTGGACTTGGGGACTGGAGACTCTGGATAACAAGCAGAATCAGACTATGGGTCTACTGGAAACACACCAAAACTACACTAAAACTGCTCTATAATTCCTGGTGTTGTCACTGGTTGCTCAGCTACATACAATGTCCTTGAACCCAAGAATGAATTCCTCAGTGATTTTGTACAGTCTTCATCCAAGACTGTCTATTGTTGTTTGAGGAAAAACAAACAAACAAACAAAAACAAACAACAAAAACACGGCTGCGTATAACCAATACTCATCCTGTAATGGCTGTCATAAAGGTTAGCATAACACATGTCAAGTGACTAGTACATTGTAGGCCTTAATAACATCTTATTGTCATGATTGGTGCTGTGATTGTCAACGGCATGAGAGTTGCTGGAATAAACTCTGTGGAAAGACTTTGATGTCTCCAGAGAGTTCAGAATTCACACCTGCCCCCCCCCCAATCCTCAGGAAGTTATATTATCATAGTGACTTCCACTTCCAAGGAGAAAAATTAGGAAAATAAGCTCACAAGTGTTGATTCTTCAGGTTTTAGCCAAATGTCTCCAGGATCAGAGGCACAATTGCGTCAAACGGAGGAACATAGTAGTTCATACTCACCACCCACAACTCTGCATCTGGATCGTTCACCTAGAATGCCAAAACATCAAGCTGTTAGCTGACATTAGACCCGTCGCACCCTATGTCTGGTTTGACCTTGTATTTACTAATCATTGTGAAGAGCCAGGCGCTGCAATGGGCTCAGGGTACAGAACATCTGTCAACACTGGTCTAGCTGTCTGCACATCCGGGTGGCCTAAGTGACCCCCCAGTTAAACACAACAGGTATCTCTAACACATAGCCACACATCCTTTGAAAAGAATGCTGAGGATTGCCTAAGAACCACACGGGTGTCTTAAGACCCTGGGTCTCAAGAAACGAGAGGCGGGGTTATCCTAAGTCGGGAAGCGGTATGGGAACAGTAAGGCAACAGTGTTGTTGCCTCCTTTCTCCCAGGCACAGAAACCCATTCAGTCTCTCGGGAGCTGAAGGTACGGAAGGGTGCTAGAGGGGCGGTTCTGGGTCCCTTTCTGAGTGGCCAGCTGCTGTGTGCACGTGCACGAGGGCCGCCAGGTCAGGCTCTCAGCTTGTTGCTTAATCACACGAACTTGTTCTGGTAGAGAGGGCTCAGCAGGTTCAGGGAAACGGAAACCCCAATTCCGCTCTACCCTGCGAACTGGCCGACCGGGCGTCTCCGCGGTCCCGCTGCCCGCCCTTCCTCAGCCCGCCTGACCTGCACCACGGCGGCCAGAGAGAAGAAGGCTGCCATGAGCGCGTTGCAGGCCCGCCACAAGCCGGGAGCCCAGGTAGCCCCTGCAGGCGCCATGGCCTGGAAGCAGGAGGCGCAGGCGTGGACAGAGGAGCCGTGACCAGAGGGCGGGGCCCCTTAGTGGGGCAGGACCCAGGAGGGGCGGGGCGCAGCGGGCGGGGGCGGAGCTAGCGGGGCAGGACTCAGATGGCTCGGGCAGCCCTCCCCTCCCTCCCCAGTCCTAGGACGGTCTCGCGACTCCCGCTAGCGGAGGAGTGTGTGCTCTGCTGTCTTCCTGGAGGCAGAGTTGATGCTGTCCCCATTTTACTGATGGGAAAGTGACTCCTAGACAGTCGATGTGAGTCTCCCAGGTGGTGGAGGGATAGCAGAAAATTAGCCTTCAACTCTTGTAGAGAGGTGTAGCTCCAAAGCCTGTTTCCCCTAGGCTAAGGCTGTACTTTCTCATACTAAAAAAAAAAAAAAAGCAAGTGAGAAAAATAAAACAAGGACAAACCAGAAATGGAAGTGAAGAATAGAAAGAAAAAAAGGTGTGTGTGTGTGTGTGAGAGAGAGAGAGAGAGAGAGAGAGAGAGAGAGAGAGGAAAGATATGACAGACATTTAACAAAGAAACCTAACTGGCACCTCTTTCTCCCTCCCCCTCTCTGTGTGTGTCTACCTGCCTGTCTCTCCCTTTCCTTCTTTCTTTCTTCTTCCTTCCTCCTCCCTCCCTCCCTCCCTCCCTCCCTCCCTCCCTCTTTCTTTCTTTTTTGGAGACTGGGTCTTCCTACATCGCCTAGGCTGTCCTGAAGCTCACTATGTAAAACAGACTGACCTTGAACTCAGAGATCTGCCTGCCTGCCTCCAGTTAAAGGTGTGTGCCACCAGGCCTTTCTGGTTAGTGTTTAGGTGCTCCTTTCCAAAGCCTGCACTTTCAGAGCCAGGAAAACATTGTGACAGTTTCTGAAGTGAGTGACAACACACAGCTTTCCAAAGCAGCTAGCCCTTTATCTTAATGCCCTCTGGCCATAAAAGGTATTTACATATTATACGTATTTACATTTCTCTCCCACCAGCAAAATGAACATTTCCAGCACTCATTTGCTCCTGTGCCTCTTAGAAGGGAAGGCCTGGAAGTATTCCAGCTCTCTGCTCTCTTGCGGGCTACCCTTTTGACAGGGCATCTTGGGTCTCATTTACACATCTGCTGGCCTTGTTTTTTATTTTAAAGAGTCTTTGTCACCTCAGATCCTGCACATGGCTGCTTGCCTGTCCTCTTTTCCTTTTAACTAAATTTTCTTTAAACTGCTCAGACAGGTTTCCCCTTAATTCTTTAGGTCAGGGTTTTTCAACCTGTGGGACCCAGCAGGTGACATTCTTGAAATAAGAGGTTTCACTGAGAGCTGGGGTTCTCAGCCTTCCTAATGCTGTGACCCCTTAATCCAGTTCCTCATGTTGTGGTGACCCCTCAACCATTAAATCATTTTTGTGTGTGCTACTTCATAACTAATCTTGCTGCTGCTATGGGCTATAATGGAAATATCTGTGTTTTCTGATGGCCTTAGCAACCCCTGTGAAAAGACCGTTCAGCCCCGAAGGGGTCACAACCCAGAGGTTGAGAACCACTGTCCTACAGGGTTTTGATATACGTAGTAAAGATTTTCAGGAAATATTGCTTTTGTTCCCACTGTGACCTGGGGAGCCTTAAGGGACCATCTGCAGGTGTGGTCTCATTTCTTCAAGGGCTGAACAGGGGACCCCTCAGGACCTGATTGACACCGCTTTGATAACCAGTTAGGTGCTTTGAAGAATAGGAGGATGTCCCGCCCATGGCCTTGTCCTTTTGCTCTAATAAGATAAAGGACAGGTAATTTAAGGGTTAGGCTGTTGGAACCATGAGTGTCCACAAGATGGCGGGCTTTCACTGCGAACAGAGTCCTGGGAGGGTTGTGCCTTCCCTTAGATGTCCCTGGAGAGGTCTGATGTAGACTTTTAGAGTGGTTATGAAGTTGGAATCAGGCGGGAGATGAAGAAACACAAATGGAATTTTGTATCAGGACCTTTTACGTTCAAGCTGAGGCGCCGCGAGTTACGACCTAAGCCTTGCTGTGCTGTGAGCAGAGATTATACCCACCTGCTACCCACGAGACTGCAGGAAAAAATGAGTTTGTAAGACCCGATCTCCAAGCAAACAATGACGATAATAGCTGTCGGTTGCTGAGTCCTTATGCAAGACCGAGGTAGCTCTGGGCATCTTAACACTAACTCAGATTCTGTATTTATAAATCTAAAATACTCCTCTTAGGTGACCTGAGCTTCTCGTGTCCCAGTCTTCATGGGTGACACCATTGGGATCACATACACAATTGCTCTTTTTGTTAGTGGTGTAAGGGTGCCTTAGCATATTGCTGTGAAAGCAGAGAAATGATTATCACCTAGTTCTGGAGTCTGAAAATCCAAAGTGAAGGTGTCAGCGGGACCACACCCCCAAAAGGCTTAGGGGATATGTCTGCCTTGTTCCTTCCAGGCTCCTTCTGGTCAGCTCTCTCCTGTAGACTCTGTCTTCACTTAGTCTTCTGTGTGTAGGTGCCTTCTCTCTGCTTCATCGTGTGTGTGTGTGTGTGTGTGTGTGTGTGTACTAAGGTGTGCTTGGTGCTTGCTGGAATCAGCTCAGCTCTCTCCTTCCACCATGCTGGCCTCAGGGGTTAAACTTAGGACATACCAGGCTTGGCAGGTAGCTCTTTTACTCTCTAAGCCATCTTGCTGCCCCTCTCCTTTGTTTTACAGGAAGACTAATCATAGGATTTAAGACCCCACCTGGATAGTCCAGACTGATCTCATCTCTATCGGGTTAATTATCAAGATAATTTTCAATGATTCTTTTCTGTATTTGATTAAGGTCATGTGCACAGACTTCTAGGGTTGGGGGTAGGTAGACATATCTTTGGAGAGCTTAACTGTAGAAACCCATCAGTCCCCTCCTCCTCCCTCCTCAGGCAGCCTATCTGTGATTCTGGTGGACCTTTCTGCACAATGTCACTCCATCTTTACTACGACACCCCCAACAAGCTGCTCATATGCTCTGCTTGGCTCCGGTGACCTCCTGGAGGGTTTCTCTCCTATTGTGACCTGCATAGAGTCCCCCTCCCCATTCATACATTGAATGTATAGTGACAGGCTTTTAAGGAGATAGTTCAGTGAGGTTACTAGAGCCGGACCCTAACCTGATAGGACAGGTGTTTTACAGGAAAAGGATTCAACATCTACACATCTTCCTCCCCTCCTGAGGGTGTCTAGGGAAAGGCACAGCAGGAACTCAGCAGGCAGCTGTATACAAGCCAGGAGGGAAGCACTCCCCAGTCATCAACTCTGAAGGCATTGAGAACCCCCAGCTTCCAGCAACTCAAGAGAGTAACTGTCTGTTGTTTAGCCCCACCCCACTTGGTACCCAAGTCAAAGAAGACCTGGGTTCTGAGCTTACTCCCACCAGCATTGCAACAAGTGACCTCTGTAAGCCACAGATCCCCAAACTTCTACCTAAAACCAACCCTCTCTCCTTCTCTGCCTCCCTCATCCTTTCTTCCTCCCTCACTTTGCTCCTTTGGATTGATGCGAGGCACCAGAGATTTCACGTGAGCAGAACAGACAACCTCACCTAATTCTCCGGTGGGAAACTCCAAGGGCAAGGACCAAGAGTTTGAACAGTCTGTGAAACCCTGCAAAGCTGGATCCAGAAGGCGGAGCTTGCAGCCCACTGTGCTGCTTTCTTCCCCACTTCACACACACAGGCTCCTAGCCCTTTGGTTACATAGGCCTCCTATTTTGCAGCTCTCTTTCCTGCAGACGTGGGTTCTGCATAGTTCCTTCCCCTTTGCCTAGTTAGCTCTCACCCCTGTTTGCACTGAGTCTCCTGGAGCAATCCAGCCACACCCTCAGCATCTGTTTTTTGGCAATTACATTGCCAATGATACAATTAGTTGTTTGGTGTTTGTATAGCTCACCAGACTGCAAGCCCCATGAGGACAATATCTGTGTCTATCATATATATGTTTTTCTTCTTGCTGCTTTCCCAGGCTTAGCACACTTAGAACATGGCTGGTGTTCCTTAGCTATTGTGCCAGGGATGAGGCCCAGAATGAAGAAACCATTCTGAAAAACACCTACCATCCTTTAGATCTTTCTAAAGTGTATATATAAATTCAAAGTGAATTCTTGGCAATCACCAAAGCAGTTACCTAGAAAAAAAATATTTTTTGTGACAAAGAACTTAAGGCTTGGTTACATATAAACTACCAAGACCAGAGCAAAATACTGGAGCAAACCAAGACATCACATTAACAGACAACATTGGCCCAGGGTTTTAATCCCAGATGATGGATGAACTAGCTTTATATTTTGATTTTTTTTTGCATTTGTGTGTGCATGTATGTACATGTGCACTTGCATGTGGTGTGTGTGTGTGTGTGTGTGTGTGTGTGTGTGTGTGTGTGTACATGGTGGTCAGAAAATAACTTGTGAGTGTCAGTTTTCTGCTTCTACCAGGTGGGTCCTGGGATTCAACCCAGGTCCTCGGGCTGGAGGCAGTGCTTCTACCTGCTCAGCTGTCTTTGCCAGCCACCTGCTAGTTTTAAATGATGAGAGAATTCTTAACAGAATTCACATATTATTTGTTATTAAGTGCAAGTTTGAGAGTGCCACAGCACACAGGTAGAGGTCAGAGGACAAATCTCAGGAGTTGGCTCCCTCTTTCCTGGGACTCAAACTCAGGTGTCAGATTTGTGGAGCAAGTGCTTGATCCAGCTGAGCTGTCTCTCCGACCCCTAGCAGAACCATTTAAGAGGAATTTTGCTAATGAACAATACTTTTCTTTATTAGGTAACTGTTGCTGTCAGGAAGAGAACAGTCATACTGAGACGTAGTCACATAATGGATTACTAATAGAAACCAAAGGAAAGGAACTAACTGCCTAGCATCCTTGATAGGGAGCCATGCTGGGAGACACTGAAGTTAGGCTGTTTATGAGGAAGGCAAAGCCCTTTCTGGTGAAGCATACCTCATCCCCATCGGGGTTCCTCTGGGATAGGTGGGGCCTGACTGGGAGCTTGTTGCCAGTGACCACGGTGCTCTAT